TAAATAAAAAAAGGATGATTTGAAGCTGTTTGGACAAAACTGTGTGTAGGTATAGTGTGCCCACAGTCATATTGGGCTTTATATGAAGACAATAGGTGTCTTTGTTAAAATTCTTAAAGTTAAAATAGAACCCAAATCCCTACCACTTTGAGGCCCATTGCAACGTGACATAGAAGGGCAGTTTTCTCGCCCACCAAATTGATTGACATGTATTAACATGTCTCCACAGTAACACGTGTAATCACATCAACAAGACAGGACGTGCGCAAAACAACTGGGATTATAAGATCTGTTCAGCTCTCTCTGATCATCAATTGTCATCAAATATTATCAAGAATGAGTTTTACAAGTTTAAAACGTTTTTTAAAAAGTGCATGTTTGCGATTTTACCATCTTTATCACCACTAAAGCTGCTAAATCTGCATATCAGTACAATTGTAAAAGATTAAGCTTCAATCCCAGTTTGTAGATGTTAAATCAGGTTTATTTTGTACATTAATAGAATGGATATCAATACAGCAGTGAATATTAAAGTGTATCTAGTTTGGAGTGCAAAGTTAAACGCGCTGCTTTGTGTCTGTGTGTGCGTGAACTTTGTAACAACATTGTGCGTGACTCATCGTTGCAGAAAGGCTTGCATTAAATCCACAACAAATTCATCAAATAATCCTTGGGAAAGTTTTTACTGTAGCATTTCTCACAAACGTTACGTGAGATCTGCTTCCTTCATGTCTGTCACTGTGCTGTTTATCTGCGCAGCCGAGGCGGAGATTGAGGCACACCCTGACAGGCACGTGGGAACAGTGGGCGGGGAGAACTGGCATGAAAGGCACAGGCCACAAAAACAGCTATATTGTCTTCAAAGCATAAAATTCCAATTTTCTGAAGGGTATAATAAATAATCTGATGCGTGTTTTGAGCTGAAACTTTACAGACACTCTCTGGAAACGCAAAAGACTCGTCTTAAATCTTGAAAAAGGGGAAAAATATGTGCCCTTTAATGTCAGTGTGGCAGTCAATAGTGAGCAATTGCCATATTAGAATTATTCGTTACATTACATTAAATTAAAAATGCAACTGAATTTTAGTAGCTATTACCTCCATTTTATAAAATGTTAAAGACTTTTGTTGTTAATGAGTTATTTGTAGGCCCACACGGAATCTGCACATGCAGAAATCCCATCCCCCAGATTTTTAGGCCATCATTCAATCTTACAATCTTACAAATTACTTGTGTAAATGAGAGTAAATTTATATTTATTCAGATTTTAGATTAATAACACTAATATTACTGACTTATTTGAAAGTTTATTTGATTTATCTACAAAACAGTTTGTAAAGTAATATTTTCTGTCTTTTAGTTGACTTTTATATAGAGACGTGCTTTATTTACCAAATAAGTGGATCTAGATGAATTTGCATTGTAAACATTAAATAAAAGTTAAAAAGCTAGTCTTTAATTTCATACATTAAGGTTTTAGTGATGATAATACCAAAATCATTCCCCTTAAATCAACAGATTTTTTATTACAAAATTCTCTGCAGAAATGGCAAAAAACGTCCACAGATTCTGTCTGGCAATAGTTATTAGGTAATTAAATTCCTTAAAATTAATAACTGCCTTTGTAGCGACTATAGTTGAATTAACTGATATTAACATGCGAAAATGCGTCGCCTATTAAGTCTCCAAGCATTTTGCGCTATGATAAACAACCATCTCAATACAATGATATGAATATTTGGTCACAATTTATTTTAATGTACAATTCAGACCATTAACAAACATTAGCTAAGACTTTTAGCTCAATGAACTACTAATTAGCTGCTTATGAATAGTTAGTAAGTTAATAGTAGGGGATGTTAAATGAGTTCATACTTTAGAAGTGCTAATATTAATAATAGGCGGGTAATAAGCAGATAAAATTATTAAAAGGTGATCTAAAAGTTTAAATAACATATCATTTTTGAAGTGTTCACAATATATCAATATTGACCATATGTATTAGCAAGATATATTGAATATTGGTGTATGTCTATTTGCTACCATATCCATGTTGTTCTTTAAATATGCCATCTCAATACTGAGAAAAAAAATTTGTGTCAGACACAATTGTGCATCACAGGGCAAACACCCCTAGCATCAAATCCCCTTGACGTCAGTAAGATTACATGGCGTTCACTTCAGATACAACATGCCTTCATTATTCCTCCAATTCCCATGCTGTGAATCAAGCACCTGCAGAACAAAAGCACCTTGCAGTTTTGGCTGCAGTGCATTTGAAACGACTTTGCTCTTTGCGGCCCACATGACCAGTTTAAAACTATTCTGTTCTGATAGTGTGGGTCATTATATGAATGTCCCATTGTCTCAAGAACACAAAATCAGATGAGAAAGCCGCCAAAAACAGAGAGAAACACGACCATGTGACTCTCATACAAAGGACACTGTGCACCACCTGACTGGCCATGCAGTCTGTTAGTGCGAACTGAAAGCGGTCAGCAAGAGAGAGCTCTTGAAGCTGCAGAAGTGGGCCGTCAGCAGCTGGAGAGGGCTAGTGGTTTGAGTGTGCAGTAGCAAAGTGCTGACGGTGCCCAGATGTGTCTCTGCTAGCAGTGAAGCAGTGCTCCTTTTATACAGTACCCATGTCTGAGCGTTTGCAGAGACAGAGGCATCTACTACTACAGCATCACACAAATAAGTAATATTTTCCTCAAAGAAAGGCAACCTTTAGAGACTGGCTTCATTTCTCTTATTCTCACATTTGACATTCTGCCCATCCATACTTCAATCTAAAAGAGTAGCTACAATAGGCCTGGGTAATATGACCAAAAATCTTATATGATGATGATAATATATATCACGATATAGTAACATTTATATAAATTATATATATATATATATATATATATATATATATATATATATATATATATATATTTGCTATATGTAAGGGATTTTTTATTTTTTACATTTTAAAGTAAATATTTGGAAATGGACTATGATCAACTTTGTATGTACTATGATGTTTTTTTATGATCAATGATTACAAAAAATGATATTACTAAATAAAACACAAAATGTAAAGATTGTAAGTAAGTGAGTAAGTAATGTGTATTTATATAGCACATTTATTGTGTGCGGCCATACACCCAAAGCGCTTCACAATCATGAGGTTGAGGGGTCTCTACACACCACCACCAGTATACAACATCCACTTGGATGATGCAACGGCAGCCACAGGACAACAGCGCCAGTGCACTCACAACATACCAGCTATAGGGGTAGTGGAGAGACAGTGATAGAGTCAATTCGGTGGAGGGGATGATTGGGAGGCCATGATGGGTAAGGCCCAATAGAGGGAAATTGGCCAGGACACCGGGGTTACACCCCTACTCTTTACAAGAAGTACCAAGAGATTTTTAATGACCACAGAGAGTCGGGACCTTGGTTTAACGTCTTATCCTAAAGACGGCACTCACAGACAGTATGGTGTTCCCTTCACTGAACTGGGGCATTAGGACTCTCACAGACCACAGATTGAGCGCCCCCTGCTGGCCTCACTAACACCACTTCCAACAGCGACCTAACTTTCCCATGTGTCCTCCCATTCAGATACTGGCCAGGCTCAGCCCTGCTTAGTTTCAGTGAGTCATGGGCTGCAGCCTGCAGGGTGATATGGCTGTACTTTCAATATTACATTTTTCTGACATGCTAAGCAAATGCTGAGAATGCTGCTCTGCATGTTTATGTCTGGATCTCCATAATGACATGTAATATTGCATTTATATAAATTATGAAAAAGTATTACAATAAATAACAAAATTTGACCTTATGATATACAGTCGAAGTCAGAACAATTAGCCCTCCTGAATTCTTTTTTAAATTTCTGTTTAAAGGATATCACATTTATTAACATAATAGTTTTAAATAACTATTTTTTTGGTCCCACTTTATATTAGGTGCTCTACTATATACCTGCATATACTATATACCTGCAAAATATAAATAAAAAATACAATGCACTTACTGTGTTCACTATGTATTTAAGAACACTTGTGGTGCTCTTGAGTTGGGATAATTAATTAATTACAGATATAATTACATGCAGGTATTTAATCAAGTATCAGTACAATGTAAAAGCATGTATTTACACAATAAGTGCATTGTAAGGAATTATTAATTCCGCTTTAAGTACATATTAATTAAGGCCCCTTAATATAAAGTGGGACCATATCTTTTATTTTTGACATAATGACAGTACATAATATTCTACTAGATATTTATCAAGATACTACGATTCAGCTTAAAGTGACATGTAAAGGCTTTACTTGATTTATTAGACAAGTAAGGTTAATTAGTCAAGTTATTGTTTAACAATGGTTTGTTCTGTGCTACCTTTAAAAGAAAAAACAAAATAAAATAAAATAAAATAAAAATCGTTTCTCAGAGATGGGTTGCGGTTGGAAGGGCATCCGCTGGATAAACATGCTGGATAAATATGCTGGATAAATTGGTGGTTCATTCCGCTGTGGCGACCCCGGCTTAATGAAGGGACTAAGCCGAAAAGAAAATGAATGAATGAATGAATGAAAATTAAAATTGCTTAGGAGGGCTAATATTATTGACCCTGAAGTGACTTTTAAAAAATTAAAAACTGCATTTTTTGTAGCCAAAATAAAACAAATAAGACTTTCTCTAAAAGAAAAAATATTATAGGAAATACCGTGAAAAAATTCTGTTAAACATCATTCAGGAAATATATGAAAAAGAGAAGAAAAAAAACACAGGAGGGCAAATAATGTACACTTTAACTGTATATCGACATATTGCACAGCTCTTAACTAAAATGTCCCCTAATTATTCCAGTAGGCCTTAAATTTCTGGAATATACAGTACATATACATGTCTTAAATAAAAACTCTTAAGCCTCTCTCAAGATAATGCACTTCATTTCGCAAAGTGTCTTTCCATTCTAGCTATATAAGTTTCAGCCACTTACCTTGATGGGGTTTACACTGAAGCGAATCTTCCTGCTGGGTGGAGGTTCATCTTCCGCAGGCAGTCCTGGGATTTCTGAACAGCTGGATTCAGGTTCGTAAGCATCATCATCCTCAGCTTCCTCATCGTCATCCAGCTGACTGCCTCCGGAGTCCTCCCCGATCCCGCTGTACGCGCTGATATCCACCAGGTCTGCCTCAGAGATATCCTCTCGGTGGGATTCCTCCTCAGCACAGGCCTCTTCAGTTTCCTCCTTTTGTTCTGAGGGATCATGGCTGCTTGTGGCCTCCCCGTTTTCCAGAGAGGCGTGGACATCCGCTTGTACCAGCCTGCTGCCTGGATCTGGAGAGCCTGGTTCTGAATTCTCCCCTTGCTTGGAGTCACAGCCTGATGAATTCAGGATCTCCTCTGACCTGGATATATTATCCGTATTGCCAGAAGCTGTATCCTCGGATGGTTTGCTATTGGATGCATCAGGTTGGCTGCTTGTTCTGCTTTTCGGACTTCCAGGAGCACCTGCTTGGTCTTTCGCCTCGTTATTCTCTGTCGGAGGGATGCTTCGTGCCTTTTTGGTGGCAGTCTTGGAACTGATTCCTTCCACCTTGGTTGAGGTAGAGGCTGCCCCATGAGAAGGCAATGGGGAAGTTGAGGACGGTCGTGGAAGGCTGTTGCGCTGATCTGCTCGCTCAAACACTGCACTCAGCTGGCTGACAGTAGGGGACACTGCATCTGCGGGACAGTCCCCTGCATCCAGCCGGTCCAATGACTCTGTGCTTCCATTGAAGCGAACTACCACGTCCAGACGGCTGTCCTGGAACCCTGACGCTCGCTCTTTCTTTAACAGGATTCGATTAGTGGCCGCCTGTTTCTCCTGCAGGTGGCGCTGTTCAAATATCTTTCGCGTCTCCTGCAGCTTGGAGTATCCAGCGGTTGATCCTCTGGAGCTGCTACCTTCAGTCTTCCCATCAAATCGGCTGACCCGCTCTGAAACAGTCCCGCCGAGTTTAAGCAGCGCACTGTGATCCACATTCTCATTCAGACTGCTTGCTCTGGGGAGGGACAGTCGGACCCCCTGGTCTAGGTCTTTGGGCTTTGACGGATCATCTTCATCCCCCGGAGAACCCATCTGCATGAACATATTCTTGATGCGGTGCACATTGGAGCCGTACCTGCGGCCCCGGTCCAGTATTCGGGGTTTTCCATCCTCTCCATTAGCAGTGACTGGCTTGAGAGATTGAATCCCAGCCTCATACGCGTTCCTGTGCGGAGATGCGCTTCTTGCTACGAGGGTGGTGTTGGTGCTGCCGCTGGCTGCAGATGGGGGTTCAGTCTTCATCATGGTTAATCAAACAGCAGTAAAGACAAGCAGAAACAGCATAGCCTTCTGCTTCTCCTCTTCCTTATGGCACGAAGCAGAGGAGGCAGCCATCAGGATCAGTCCATAATAGCATCCGCAAAACCGAGAAAAGAAGAAAGCATGAATAAGACATGGAAATAGCTGATGGATTTTAAAAGGGATAAAAATATTAAAAGATGGCCTCTTTGAACACTAATGCTGCACGTTTAAATGCATTAACATCTTTGCAGTAAATAAAAAATGATGGGATGAATGAATTAGGAGGAATCCCTTTGTACTTTATAAAATTTCCTCATTTGTAAGTCGCTCTGGGTGAAAGGATGTAAATCTAAAATATTAAACTAAACGACATGCAGACAGATTGTGTTAGATTTGGTCTCAGAAGTATGGTTCATACATAAAAACAGTTAAAAGTAAAAAAAAAAAAAGTTAAAGTAACGAGACATTATAAATTAAAAAGAGAATAAAATGCTTTAATAGCGTTTTATTTATAATAAATTTAAATAAAATTGTTTATATAATTTATATAAATCGTAACTGCAAATCCACAATACAAAAGACTACATTTTAGTGTTTTTGAGCATTCATTGACAGCTCTGCCATAGTCTCTCAGATGTCACAGGGTGATAAATCCAGAAAAGTTAAAATGATGCCTTCTTTAACTTAAATTAAAACTAAAGTCAACATAAAACTGCATCAAAAAGCAAGAAACAAAACCAAATATTTCAATAATCAACCATCAAAAGAAAATATATATGATGCTAAACATTTCCGCAATTACCTAAATTGAATTTCCTCAATACATACTTTCATGCATAGCTATATCACATAAAAGTGCATTCAAAGCTTTTCACAAACACAAATTACACTTTTTGGCAGATACAATCATTTAAATGGGGCTGACAGCTGTGCTTAGGAACATGGTAACCTGCTTCTAGCTGGTCTAAAAAGATGGCAGACCATCTTAGACCAGCAAGAAACAATTAGCTTAAGGTGGCCAAGCAGATTTTCACTATATGGCATCTGATTAAAGAATCAGCTTGAACTGAAAAATAAACAAGCAGACGCCAGCTTTCATGTTGCAAAACGCAGCTCCCAGCCTAAACTGGATTTTCCAACAGGGCTGGATCTCTGAAATTGATCTTTCTGTCAGATAAAGGAAGTCAGATAATGAACGAAACTGTAAACAGAGGCACGGGAACATGAAAGAATGAATAGTTATTTCATGTGTATATAAAAACGGTGCACAATTCCATGGGAAATACCATGCATACTGGCATGGACAGACAGGCTTTGTTGTGATCCCATGCTGCTGCTGCTGATGCCAGTAGATTACTTATCTTGGCAGCATGAATCCAGCAGCCTTTAGGAACTGAAACATCGGCTGCCGCTTTAATTTCGCCGTATTTAGGGGCGTCCTAATGTGCAGTACAGATCAAATCCCTGATTGAAATCAGAAAGTGTAAGATATGTTTACTGCGCGGCTGACACTGGTCAAGGAGTGTCAACAGATTGAAGCTGCAGCCTGTCAAAACATCACATTAGGACCCTGCGGAGCAGCGGCCCGCGCTCTCTGCAATGATGCCTCGACTCGGCGACGTCGCTTCCTGCATCCTCTACCGTCCAAATAACGGTTCTGCCGTTACAATCAAAGATAACGAGGAAAAGCGCGACATGAATGGTCTTGCGCTTGCCTCAGAAACATGCACGTACCTTGTGTCTCGTGTTCATCGAAGACTCCGTCCTTTAATCAACGCAAAGCCCTTTCCTTCGCAAATCCATTGTGTCCACGAGCCGCTTTCGCCCTCTTGATTTCCCCCCACGAGCGTGTGACGCGCCTGCCCCCTCCTCTTTCTCTCTCTCACTCACTCACACTCTCTCTCACACACATACACAGCAGCTTCGCAGGTTGTTTTATTCCTACAAGCAGTAATCAATACGACATAATAACGCTGTCATAACTGAACAGTTTCTCACAGTAGCAAAATACAAATCATAAAGATATATAGATAAAGGCAAATAAAAAAGAATAAATTTAATAAATATATAATGTATAAAATATAGACTGTATATATATATATATATATATATATATATATCCCTAACCTGCCAAGTTAACCTAATTAACAAGGGGGCTATAGTTCAGGTGGGCTAATAATTCTGACTTCATCTCTGTCTGTGTGTGTGTGTGTGTGTGTGTGTGTGTGTGTGTGTGTGTGTGTGCATGTGTTTTGTATTATTTATTTGTTTAAGAAATAAATATTTTTTGTCTAATGTAAACACGTTATAGATCTATTTATTTTTATACCTATATACCTTTTGTTTTATTCATACTTTTCCATTTCCTGTCATATTTAGGCTAGTTTTATTATCTATTACTAAAACTTTACTATATGACACATTTATTTTTTTTATTTTTGACACCACATGCATTGTTATTGTAAATAAATTATTATAGATCTTTGTAGAGTAGCTATATGTTAATTCTATTGCATGGTTTGTGTTCATATTCCTTATGGCAAACTAAAAGGATGTGAATTTTTATTTGCTTATTAAAACTTTACCTTTCCATTTTGCAAAATTATTTATTCACATCATGCTGACTGCCAATAAAGATAGATAGAAAGATAGATGGATAGACAGATAGATAAATGTATAGATAGGCAGGTACGTAGGTAGATAGATAGATAGATAGATAGATAGATAGATAGATAGATAGATAGATAGATAGATAGATAGATAGATAGATAGATAGATAGATAGATAGATAGATAGATAGATAGATAGATAGATAGATAGATAGATAAAGAGATAGACAGACAGACAGACAGAAGTGGAAAGAGACAGACAGATAGATATCAGATATCTTCTGAATCAAACCCCTGCAATGCGTGAAGGCCTACAAGAAGACACACTGACCCATTTTGGACACATTTGTTCCTCTCTACAGTCGTATAAACGCTAGTGTGTAGAGAGCGACACTGTGTGGTGAGTTTAAGAAGTTCAGATCATTACTAACCATCGGACAGAGACTGTAGCCAAGACGCCAGTATGGAATCCCACACCCTGGGGAGTCTTTGTTACACTTTCAATCTGTGATTGTGAAAACCGTGTCTGTGGGCAGTGGGTATGGACTAAAATGAAGTGGGACAACCTTTTCAGCTCCATTTGCATTGCAATTTGACATGCTGCTGCAAAGGATTTTGAATTAAGGGATAAAGAGATTCTTCCTCGGCACATGATGTTTGCACACTGTAAGCACAAAAGACAGGCAGAAAATCTGTGACAATCTTGTTTGTAGGTTTGCAGGAAGTCTTGTTCAGGAGCTATGAGTTGCCCAATTATCTATATTAGTTTTGAATACATATGAATTGTTGTAAAGACTATTAATGTTGAAATACTAAATACCTGAAATAGTTGCACAAAAATATCCAGTACTGAGCAGATTAAAACGTTTGCACATTAGCTTATACAATAAAAATGGTAAAAAAAAGTAACAATCCAGATTGTACATACTAGGAAATGTGATTTAGTTTTACATTATATTTGACCTAACTTGTTTGACCTAACCACATGCCAGAAGAAATGTCAATAAAGAAGAGATGACATTGCAGGAAAAAGAAAACCTTATTTTCATTAAAGCTTAGATGAATGCAAGCATTATATACTGTATTTCATAACCCTGATTAGTCATGGCACAACAACCAGTTTCAAGGTTAACCACGATTTGGAAAAGGTTTTAGAACCACTACAATTTTCTGCTATACCATTTCTAAGGTACAGTGCTCAGCATATCACCCCTCACAGATCTCTCTTTTACATTCATATTTTCAATAGGAAGCTATACAATATTATATTTGTGCATATACATTAGATTAGTCAATACTGAAGCCAAATCTGGAGCTTATCTTACAAAATAACTGAGGATAGCGGTCCAAAAACTAGTACAGCCAAATGTATATGTCATAGAAAAATGTCAAATACGAATTTAAAAAAGAGGAAAAAATTAAGAGAAACAGAAAAACTTTAAAATTATGTTAATTGTTTTTGCTTGAATTTAATTGTATTTTCTTTCAATTTCTAAATACGTCTGGTAACAAATTTTTTTTCTAAATAAAAATATCTGTTTATTAAATCTATTTTGTTTAAATGCATCAAAAATACATTGCCTACATTCACTGAGAAATGGAGAAAAGCACTCATTTTCAAAATGGGCTGTACTCAATTATGCTGAGCACTGTATATGTATTTTATTTTGTATATATATATTTTTCTTTTATTAACGAATATTCTATTTAGTTTTTAGGGCATCAGTATCCACATCAAAGGCTACTGGTCAGCTTACAATTCAGAAAACATTTGAAAAGCAAATCGCTGCTGTACCAGAGCACCATCATGCTGTACCAGAACAGTATTACTTTATTCATTTATTCATTCATTTCCTTTTCGGCTAAATCACTTTATTAATCTGGGGTCACCACAGCGGAATGAACCGCCAACTAATCCATCCCATCACTGGGAAACATCCATGCACACACATACACTACAGACAACTTAGCTTACCCTATTCACCTATACCACATGACTGTGGGGGTAACCAGAGCACCCCAAGGAAACCCGAGCTAACATGGGGAGAACATACAAACTCCACACAGAAACGGCGACTGACCCAGCCGAGGCTCAAACCAGCAATCTTCTTGCTGTGAGGCGAACGTGCTACACACTGAGCCACGGTGCAGCCAGTATGACTTTATTTCCAAAGAAAAGAAATATATTATTTAAAATGACATGTTTACTGTTCCAAAATGTATAAAATGTTTTTCAAAATAAAATATATTGTGTTCAATGTGAAAAAAGTTATCGTGTATCACAATACCGTGAAACTGTGATACGTTTATCTGAGGTTTTCATACCGTCAGAATCCTGATAGGAAGAATTTGCAAAAGAAAGCTCAATAACATTTCACTCAAAAATTAACATTTGCTGTTATTTTTCAAATGATTTATTTAAAATTAGGTGAATCAACAAAATTTTTTAGTTTTTTTTTGACAACTCATATTAGGGCTGCAGGATATTGGAAAAATCTGAGATTGTGATGTTTTGTTTCTCTGCTATATATCGATACAAATACAATTTCAACCAATGGCTAGCATAGCTCTATTTAGAAAGAAATCATTCGTTTTGATTGATTAGGGTGATTTTGTAAGGATATGAATTATGTATACAATCCAATAAACAAATTGCAAGCAAATATTACAATAATACAGCAACAAAAAAGCTCAATGAACAGTGCTATATGGTTTTCCATAGAGTCAAACAGTATTCAGGTACAGAAATTGAATAATGAAATGTAAAATAACACTTTATAGTCTTTAATATATTACAGTTTTTCTCAGTGGCTTTGGTGCATTTCCCACAACACTCTTTACATTTGCACAACAGTTCATGTATTTCTCAAAATAGTTACTAATTTGTGCCCATCATAGTAACAGTTTCCCATTCCTTCTAATTAGTACAAACTGCAAAACCTAGTTGATAACCTGCAAAAGCGTGTCACTTGCTCAAAAGGGGTAGCTCATTCCTCAAAAGCAAGTATTGATGTCAATGAAAGTGTCAGTGTCATCAAGATAAAAAGTCCTGACTATGCATGGGCCGGTATAAGATTCTGACGGTATATGATAACCTTGGATATAAATATCATGGTTTTACAGTATGACAGTATTGTGATTACTGCTCTAAATTATATACGTTTTAAATATCTGGGTAAAAAACAAAACATTTTCGCCCTTTGAACACAATATATTTTATTTTGAGAAAATTGTATAATTATTTGGAAAAGTAAACATGTCAGGCGGCTCAGTAATTCAAATGAATCATTGACTTCTGCTGTCCTCAGTTTCAAAAACACTGATTTCATTGCAATTTATAACAGCATCTTTGGATATATTTTCTGCTGGAGATACTGTTTTCCTAAGGAAGTTAAAACAAAATGAAAAAAAAATAAAAAATCTCACACATATCTTAGGAACGGTATAGCAGAAAATTTTGGCGGTTTTGAAACCTTGACTTTTTCAAACCGTGGTATACCTTGAAAACGGTTATCGACCCCGCTGACACCATTGATTATGAATAAGATAGTTAAATGGCTTTGTCATGTTTTCATTATAACAGCTTACTCTACATTTTTTCCAATGGAATAGTCAGATTTTGGAGACACTTCCTGAAAAAGCTCTAGACGGCACTATATACTATTTACACAGCCATTTGAAAACTACAGTAAAGTTAGACGTTACTGCATTTAGTGAGGTATCTAAATATAAGACACTGAAATGTTTCACATTTTACTGGATTTGCTCTTTACAATTCTACTTTATTCACAGCATTGTGCAAAAAAATAAATAAACCCTTATTTACAACAAACATAAACTTCCTTTGGGTAGATCTGTGCACACCTGTAAACAATATTGCAGTACATATTGGAACTGAATCTACAACATACACAGGACTGTGAATCATTCATAAAATTGTTCAATTTAAAGACATTTTCAGGGGGGGAAAAAAGATTAACATTTTTTATAAAATTAGCTTGTCAGATTTTGACAACTAGTTCAACATTTTTGCATGTGGTGACTCAAGTAATGAAATGAGAACTGTTAGTTTTATATATGGAATGACTATTCAGCATTCACAAGTTTAGTTAATTTTGACATGAGCAAATGACATTGTTATAAAACAGCAGAGAGTTGTATGAAAGCAACTGATGCATGTCCAAACGCATTTGCAATTTGTTGGAAGGAATGAGAAACTGCTACTATGATGAGCACAAATGACTAACTGTTTCA